CATTACCTTAAAACAACTTACGCTATTCATTCAGAAGGTTCTAGGAGTTATGTTGAAAATAGCCAGTTAGTGACAGGTTAGAGAAAATAGAAAATATAAACATTACCTTAAAACAACTTATGCTGTTCATTCAGAAGGTTCTAGGAGTTATGTTGAAAATAGCCAGTTAGTGACAGGTTAGAGAAAATAGAAAATATAAACATTACCTTAAAACAATTTACGCTATTCATTCAGTAGGTTCTAGGAGTTGTGCAAAAGAAATTTGAAAACTGTATTTCTATACTTAACATGAAAATCTCCTTGCATTTAAACAATTCAGAGTCTGAGTGCAAATAATTGCAATAAATAAATAACAAATTTTAATGGAAATACATGATAAAAATAATTTCATTCTGTGGAATAATAATTTCAATGGAACTGTGTTGGAGGCATAGGAAGGTGTCTCTTGATATTAACAGACTTGTTAGATTTCTGTAGGCAACATCTCAGACTAACTAAAAATAGTGTGAGAGTTTGCAACCTTTTTTTTTCCTTTTTTAATTTTGTGAATTCCAGAACTCATAACCAGTTGCAACACCGAGGACAGTCATCCCCCACATCTTCTCCTCTTTCATCCCCAAAGTCATCCCCATACGTGTCTCCACCTCATTCTGGTACCAGTTCCAGATCTACATCACCGTGGACATCTCGAATCTCCATGGCAACTGATCGGGGCTCATCCTCCACTAGCGTTGATTCAAGTGATATATCATCTTTAGAACATTTCTTAAAAAAAGAGGGATTACGCAAGTATATTCAAAATCTTCATGGCTACACAATAGAAAAGGTCAGTGTCTGCAACAACATAGCATATTTTACATTTTCAAAATCTGTCCTTACTTATTACCTGGTTGTATCTCAAGTTTATACATATTTATGTCAGTTTGGCTATCAATCTATATAGATAGATAGATAGATACAGTACGTTCTTCTTAGTCTGTTTGCTGAGGATTTACACAATCATCATAGAAAGCAAGTTAAGTAATTATGTTGAAAACAAATTATTAAGTACAGCTTGTGCACAAAGCCAGTATAAGAAATTTTCTTGCAGCCTGCCTTCAGCAATAGTTAAAACTGTATCTTGTGATTTTATAATTAAAGCTATGAATGTGAAGTTGAGCATATTGTGTTATTATATTCAGATTTGAATGAGAAATGTCACTAACTACAGAAAGAGGCTTGAATGGTAAAATTATATTGTAAACCTTTGACTGTACATTTAATTAACTGGAGTAGTAGGAAATGGATAAAATTATTGAGACATATAGAATACTATGTTAGATAGGTAATGTTTACATAAACTGGTATACACACCAATAATGGAATTACTGAGATGGGATCTTTAATACAATATACATGGAAGCTCACAGTGTCTTTTTTTGCTTTTCATGCCATTTCAAAAAGCCAGGTTTGCTTGTATTTCATTGAAGTTTTAATATATTTAGCACAGAGATGTTCAGTGATCATGTTCAATTTCATTGCTGTGTAATTTAATTTTTATTTAAAAAAGTTAATGTATTTATTTGCAGTTTTGGTTTGCAAAATTATACAAGTTTATAAACTTAGCAGTGTCATGAATGGACTGTGTGATATAGAAAGAAATTTACTATATACAAAGTTTAGGGTAATAATAGATAAACAGATTTTTAAAACTGTTTTGTTGTGCAGCTGCAGACGTTGAATGAACATGATCTGAGAAGTTTTGGCCTGACCATGGGTGCAACTCGTAAATTGAAGAAAGCTCTTGATGGTTTTAGGTAATGTTTCTGTTTCTTTATTGTTTTTTTAAAGGAACCTACAACTTGAGGTTTCAGTTATGTAATGTGCTGCTATACTTTTAAGTAATTTGAATACTTCTACTTTCTTGCTCACAGAAATATATTTGCCAAAGTCTAATGTTTTCCTTTTTGAAAGAGTGGCTTAATTGTT